CCCCCGGCGGTCCAGGATGTGGAGGCAGGCCTCGAGCACGCCGGCGTCAAACTGGGGAGGCACCCCAAAATTTGGGGGTGCCCCAAAAACCTCCCCGATCCACCCCAAAATCCTCCCACTCCCTGGAGAATCCCCCCCCCTCCTCCAAATCCTCATATCATTCTGGGCCTCCTCATGGTTGTTATGGGGAGCCACCACCCTTTTGGGGTGCTCCCACCTGTTTTGGAGACCGCCCACCACCAATTCAGAGCCCCTCCACTCCTTTTGGAGACCTTCCATATTTTGGGGACCCTCCCCACCCATTTTTGGTCCCCCCTACCAAGGATTTTGGGGTCCAAACAAGGTTTTTGGAGTCAGACCTGGTTTTGGAGCCCCACCAAGGCTTCTGGGGTCTCCTCTGCTATTTAGGGGACCAATATTGGGGGGAAACCCAAGATTTGCAGGAGTCTCCCCTGATTTTGGGTCTAAACTCAAGATGTTGGGGGCCTCTCCAGGATTTTGGAGGTCCCACCCCAGATTTTTGGGGTCCTCCCCTTCGAGTTTGGGGGTCTAACTCAGGATATTTGGGGTTCCTCGTGAATTGTGGGGGGTCTCTCAAGGATTTCTGGGGTCTAACTCAAGATTTTTGGGTCCCTCCAGGATTCTGGGCTCCCACCAGATTTTGGGGTGCCACCCCAATTTAGGGGGGTCAGAAAGAGGGGTTGGGGGGGGTCTCCCGGTTTAGGGGTACCTGCCCGTAGTTCCAGGAGCGCTCGGCGATCTGCGCCTCCGTGCCGTAGAAGATGCGCCCCGACTCGTTAAGGACGTACTCGTTAAGGTCGCTTGTGGTCTCCATGTAGACAAGGTCATCTGCACGGGTGGGCAACCCCAAAATCAGGGTGGGGGTCCCCAAACCCTTGACACCCTCCCAACCTGCACCTGCCCCAGACTGGGTGAAAAAAGTCCACCAAAAATGGTCATTTGAGGGGGGTCTGAAATGCAAAAAAATTCCTTTGGGGGGGCCTCGAAACCACCAAAATAGGGACAGGGAGTCCTAAAAATGGGGGGGTTTGACCCAAAATGGAGCCAGGAAGGAGGTAGGACCCTGAAACTGCTAACGGTAAATTGGGGGGGACCGAAAATCTCCAAAACCAGAGATCTGGGGGGCCTGAAATGGCTAACTAACCCTCTGGGGAGCCTCGAAACTATCACAATGGGCAAACGGAGCCCTGAAATTGTCCAGAAATGGGGGAGGTTGATCCAAAACGGCATCATGGGGGCAGGAAGGGGGAAACACTAAAAGTGTAAAGAAAGATTTGGGGGGAGCACCAAGAGAGGTTTGGGGGGAGCACCGAAATGGCCCGATTGTGGCACAGGGAGCCCTGAAACCACCAAATCTCAGTGTGGGGAACCCCAAAACAGACAAATCTCAGTCTGGGGAGCCCTGAAACGGCCGAATCTCGGCACGGGGAGCCCTGAAACCGCTGGATTTTGACATGGGGCACCCTGAAACCACCGGATCTCGATGCGGGGAGCCTCGAAACCGCCCCAAAGGTGGATTTTGGGGCCTCACCGGGGCACCAGGGGTTGAAGAGGAGGAAGACGTCGTTGGCGTCGTCGAAGGGCGCCGCGTACTCGCCGGCCGCCGTGCGGGTCTTGACGCTGAGGCGGTAGCGGCCAATGGGGGCGTC